GAATTCCACTTTGTGCTTTGAATAATCCATAATTACATAAATGAATGAAGTTTGTACAGGTAAAATGCAGAGAAACATGAATAATCTATCAGAATGGGTGCTATTAGATTTGACATTTGACTAATTCTTAAGATCAAACAATTATTAATTTTTCAACAACTGTAAATAAGAAAATTTCAAATTACATAAATACAACTAAATTAAAGTTGTTTCAAAATAAATGTAAAAAACAAACAGCTTCAATTAAGTTGTGTAAATTACTTATTTAGTACTGATATACAATCTGAATTATTACTGTTCCTTAATGTCTCATTATATGAATTTATAAGTTATAATAATAATAATAATAATAATAACTGAAGGATACATCACGTACAAATGAGTCTTGCAAAAAATACCACATTCTGCCAGAAACAATACAACATATAACCTCTAAATACCCAGATACCATACTACAAATGTAATCCACAGGCAGTATTAAAAAGCGACACACAAAGTATACAACAACAGAGCCATAACCATACATAAAACAATTCAACACAATAGACCTGACATCACTTTCATTGACAAACGTAGTAAGATCACTTATATAATTGACATCTCCATTTCAAACACTCATAACATGAAAAATGCTCACATTGAAAAAATCAACAAGCACACTCCGTTCACCCAAGAAATAAGGCAGCTATGGAGATGAATAAGGTATATTTATTGTGCCTATTGTTTTCTCTTCCACTGGTGTTATACCACATACACTACACAAAAGTCTAGAAACGTAAACCTTAATAGAAACATACATGGCACCCAAAGCCAAAGTATTGAACACATGCCACATTGTTAGGAAGACACACATACCAATAACACAGCTATGCCTTGACTTTAGTTGGGCATAGCACATGGCACCAGTATCAGCTGAGCATGACATTTGCAACATAATAATAATATTCAGAGAATCATTACCATGTTTCATTTGCTAAACATCTCAATGCCTTTTTCAGTGCTTCATCTGGATTAGGATATGGAATGTGACGATTAGTTTTATCATCAAATAATGAAAGAGAACTCGATGAGGGAAACTTATGATTAATGCTGCCTGGTAATGTCTGTGATGATCCTGGTGTCATAGGCCTGCAATANATTAATATAACCTGATTGTACTGTAGTAATCATTTTGGCATTAATCTAAGAATCAAGTTTATGTATGTTTATATTCGTATATATGTAATGATTGAATACAGACTAAAAATTAAAGTGGATAAAATAATTGTTTCAATGTAAATAAAACTATATATTTTAAAGTATTATTTTGTAGAGTTTATTTTAAAATACAAAATTTTAAGTGAATACAGTATTAATAAAAATATATTTTTGCTTTTAACAAACTGAATAATTTTAATTATCTTTATTTTTTTTATTTTTTTAATCAAATATCTAATTCATGTAAGACAGAAATTAATAGAAGTTTAAATTTGCAGCTGATTTAACACTTGAATTAGAAAATTTAATCAGTGGAGAAGAAATTGAGGATTGGTTTCCACTTGGTGGCCTTACACCTCCAATTAGAGAAGATTGGGGTTCATTAAGAGTGCGAATTCGATATGTGCATGAAGTCATTATGCCTCTAGTTGAATATAATGCTTTGAAAGAGGTAAAAGGATTAATTTTAATAATTAAGTAAATATTAAAAAACTTGGCAGACAGTGTTTAATTTTTAAAAAATAGAAAAATTTTGCAAACTTCTTCGCTTTCCCTCCGTCTTTTTGTGTCCATCGGCAGTCCAGAACAAATTTATATGCAGAGACGACCTTTCCTTAGAGGCTATGGCCCCACAACAATATGCAAACTGGAACAGCCTCTAAGAAAAGGTTGTCTCTGCATATAAATTTGTTCTGACTGCCGATGGACACAAAAAGATGGAAGGAAAGTGAAGAAGTTCAAAAATTTTTTATAGTTTATTATATTTTCAAAGTACAACTTATTTCATTTAACAAAATACATGAATCATTAATATTTTTGAATTCATACATTAATTTAAATACATTATTTATTTGTAAATAATTACAAAGAGATTAACTACAATTATTTTCATAACAAATGTCAACAAATATGAGCATTACTTTGAATCATATGAATATTATGAAATTTTTATTTTAAATGAATATGTTAATTCCTATTGAATGCAATTAATAATAATAAGAAATAAATATGTAATAAAAATTACTGAATAGCAAAAAAATGTTTCATCCTTTTCTATATACTAACAATCAATTTTTATATTATATTATAATATCAGTACTTTAAATTTTCTTAGGGTACTGAATGCATATATTAACAATATATTTTAAGGCATATAAGGCAAAAAAAAAACCTTGAAAATGGCCCTGCATCTTATATGTAAAGTTGTGATCTCCCATAGGCTAATGAATTCCCAATACAGCCTTCAGTAGGCGACAGTTAACCTCTAACAAGTATAGTATAAGGGCCACTCTGAAAGTTTCTGGATACAACAACCTTGTTTATTTTTACTTTCTCCATCCTCATATCTTCTCAAAGTACTCTCCCTGATGCTCAATTTACTGCTGCATGCAGGTGAACCAGCATTGACACCAATCTTCTTCTAAGATGTCTGCCAAGGTCTCTGTATACAGCAACTGCCTCTTTCAGACTCCCAAAACGATATCCCTTGAAGACCATCTTGGTTTCGGGAAACAGAAAGAAGTCACGGGATACTAAATCTCGACTATAAGGTGGATGAGTAATCGACTGCACTACAGAGTCACTCAAGTAGTGCACCATTCTCATTGTGCTGTTGTGTTGTCATGGTGCAGCAAGAGTCCACGAAGGTCTGTTTTAGGATGCCATTTGTGGATTTCTTGAAAGACTTGAGGAAGATAAATAGTGACATACCACTCAGCATTAACTGTCTTCCTATCCTTAAGGATTATGGTGCAACATGACCTGTCTTTCAAAGAATGTCACTACCATTTTCTTCTTGGATGTTTGACTTTGACAGGTGGTGCTTCATCAAAGAAGACACAAACTGTGGACTGTCTCTTGTTTTCAGGGTCGTACTGGTAGATCCAGGTTTTGNAATAAACTTTAAGAGGATCAGAGATTATCCTCAATCGAAATATTCGAGATATAATCCGACTAACCTACTATTATAATTTCGGTTTGATATCATTATTATTATTCTTATTATTTGTAACCTTTTTATATTGTGTACACTAATTAAATTTATATTATATCTTAATTATATGTGTTTACTCGTACTCGGTCAACACCTTATCGACTTATCCACGACCTCCCACTCGATTTTCGCCCTCCTAAATTGCCATCCACTGACCCTGTGAGCGGGACTCACCTCCCCGTTGTCGGAAAACAGCTTAAGCTTTGATGCTTAAACCCCGATTCTCACATATTTGAATCTGCCATTTTAAACTTATACAGCCCCTTTATAGTTAATCGGAATTGCCACTTGTTTGTTTTTGAACTTTATGGTGATAGGAGGTGCTCCTTACAATTTTCTCTTTGCAAACATTTATTCTTTATTACTCATTTTTATTGATCTCCATTGATAAGGATTTAGCCTTCCTTCCCATAACACCCACCATTATTATGACAACTGTCACTCACAAATTCCTAAAATAGGGAAAATAAAAATTTTTTCATTAATCTTTCTTAAATATGGTTAGCATAGCTCACATTTATTTCAATCTTTCATATATGAGGTGTTTTAGGTCTTTATTTAGAACTTTGTTGATGTTTTGTAAAAAATTAATTCTTGTTTATATCATTTAGCCTATGATAAAATTGGTTTTGTTATACACCATTTTGCTTAATGTCACAGTTTCCAAGCACCTATCAATGATGTTAAGTGAAGACTTGCTCTTTACGGATGGAATAATTGGCTAAGATCAAGAACAAAGATGAGAACAATGAGTGAAAGGATTCAATAGTGCTTGATATAGTCCTAAAACTTCAAATTCATTTATATGGTGTATGCAACTTTCAGCATTAAGTGCATGGTATTATGGACTATTTTGTTAACTGCTATCTTACATAGTCTGCTGAGTTTTAGTACAAGGACAAAAATCATAAAAATTGAAGTACTTTTTCTGTTTTCTTTTTTAAACTGCAATATCTCATTTAAAACTTGCACCAGCTACATATTATTTATTTTAATTAAAAACCTGTTTTAACATTATTTCTTCAAATTTACTTTTTACTAGATGGGACAGAATTATTGTTAACATGCACTCAAAATTTAACCAGAGCTTACTGTAATTGTGTGTATTTGTAATCTTTTTGGACTTCCTTTTCTTTATTTATAACCATGCTAATACAAACAACTCATAAAATAGTTATTTAAAATTAGTGAGAATGCACTGTAAAATACTGTAACAAACACTATAAATAAAGGTTAAGCATATATTTTTAATGTAATTTAATTAATTTAGTAAATTCATTTTATAGTTGTACGTTATTATTGTTAATTAATGATCCAAAATCATTTTCTGTTAATTTTAGATAATTATAATCAGGGCTATTTTTCATCTGGAATGTACCAGTATACTGTACCAGCAGATAGCATAGAAAAGTATTGATAGCCAGTACTACATACAGAGTTATTTAATAAGAAAAATTTTACATGTTTACTTGAGAAATCTGGTGAATGGCACAATAAAAACAACTGAAATGAACAGGATCATTCTCTTGGCCACAACAAATGTCTTGGGCTGAGTAGAGATGACATAAAAAGCAAATGGGGTAAGAACCTACTTTTGGTGAAGGCCATCTTTCAACAAGCAGACAATACTGTCTGGTAATTGTCCATTTCTGATATCTGATATGTTCTTGACAAGAAAGAGGTACATAGAAGCATTAATGATAATATTTTAAATGGTAAAAGTAAAAATACAGTTATTAAAGACCAACTGATACTAAATCCAAAACAAGAACCAGGTAATAAAATACAGATAGCAATATATTAAAAAAAAATAAAAGTAATTTATTATAAATGCTACAATATAAATATATTCATATTTAAAGAAAAAGAAAATAATTAGTAATATAATAAAAACTGTTATTTAGCTGTTACATTTTTCCTAAAACAGAACTTTATTTTTAGTCACCTATATGCATACTGGCAGTAATTTTTTTAGAAAAAGAGCACTGATTATAATTATTTTATATACATAATGGAAAAAAGTTTAACCTTGATGATTTTCAAAATTTTCAGCTTCCTGTCCAGTTTTATTAGCATCTTCTTCTTTCTCATCAATATTGTTTATTTTATTGGGTAAGATATCTATATCATTGATAACTTTATTTGCTATGTTATTATTCTGAACTTCTTGCATTCGTTGTTGCCTCTCCCGTTCATCCTGTAATCTTCTTTCTAACATCTGTTTTCTTTCCAGTCGACTCTTTTCTCGAATCGCTTTCCTTTCTTCAGCTTCTTTCAAAATTTCTTGTTGACGTTTTAAAAGCCTATCTCTTGTAATTTTTGAAATTGATATATTTGAATGATCCTAGAAGAGCATAAACAACACTGTATAAAATAATATCCTGAAATCTAATAATATATGTAAACTTAATAACTGCTATTCATAAAAATGCAAACTTCTTTATCAATAGTGAATATTTTGTAAATATAATAAAACCTGTGTAAACTAGAAATGCATGTACAGTAATACCCTGAACTTACGCGATAGGTGGGACTGAGCGATAACTGCGTAAGTCGGGGTATAATTTCGCAATTTGTGTAAAATCCAAGTCGGATGTATGTAAGCTAATAAATGTTCTCGTTAATCTCATCTTGTCTTTTGATTCGTTCACGGTTACAAGAAATCACCACATAAAGTCTCTTGAGTCTCCATAGATATAACAAACACAGAAATAAATAACACAAAATAAATTGGAGCTATGTGTCGATTCCGCGCGACATGTCCAAACATGTAAGCTGAACAATAGTGTGGGGGAGTGAGTAATCAAAAGTTGTATGGCGCTCAAACAAAAGACGAATCGACGAGATTTGAAAATCGCGTAACTCTGGGTTCGCGTAAGTCGAGGTATTACTGTACTGAATATTGTATCTTTATGTTAAAATGTTGCCAAATCTGGCAACTTTTTAACATAAAAAAATGACTCTATTCTGAAAACCATTTTCCATTTAGGCAGAGTTCTATTTTATTCAGGTTCTGTCTTGGACAAGTTTTACTGTATCATTTACTTTCATTGAATTTCAGTCTATCTGACAAAAAAATTTATATTTAATACTTAATATTCATTTAATTGAATTATATTGAAAAGGCTAATCTATTTGATAAGGCTGACAGTTATTTATTAAGTTAATATAAAAAAGAAAGTTTTTAACAATATAAATTTGATCGGAAGTTTTGAAGTTTTAATGAAATATTCATATTTTTCAGATTAGAAACAACAAAATAAACACACAATAACCAACATATTTACAATATTGAACTTTTATGCATCTATTTTTTTATTTTATATTTTTTTAAATTATAGCATGCAAATGTAATTATTTCTTCTTTAGAAACAAAAATAAACATGGAAGCTAACTGAATTCATAAGTTTGTGTTTAACTAATCAAATTACTTATTTCATAATGCTTTCTTTAATTAATCGTTAAAAAAAGATATATACATAGGAGCTAAAATGTGGAAGCTAACTAAATGAATTCAGTTAGCTTCCACATTTTAGTTTTATTTTTAATTTTAGTCCTTATATTATGGCTAGCAATTTAGAATGTAATTGTGATATTGAAAATTTATTTTAAAAAAGTTTTGACTCGAGACCATATAATGAAAAAGAAAACATTATTAAAAGAGAAAGACCAATGCCTAGATTAAATATAAATACGTCAACATAAAAATTTGTTTGACGTTTTCACGATAAAATTTATGAAGACATAAAATGGCTTTGTGGTTGCATAAAAGTGCAAAATTTGTTGGCCTTGCCTACTTGAAAATAAAATTAGTATGTGGAATAAGAAGGCTTTGATGATCTAAATAATTTGAGTAAAGCTGGCAAAAGACATGAAAATTGTAAATCTTGATTCTTTCGTAAAATTGAAGCAATTTGGAAATCAAAATAGAATAGAATTTAACATTAGTAAACAATATAAAATAAACATTGAAAATTATAACAAGATAGTTATGGCTAATAGATCTATTATATTTAAATTAGTAGATGTTATCGAAGCAAGAATTGGCGTTTAGAGGGCGTAGGGAATCTATTAAATCTAATATAACAGAGTTACTTATATTGAACTTGCTTATTTATTAAGTGCATTAGATAATCTATTAATTAAAAATACATTTAGAGAAGTCTACAATTTTTACTGGCTTATCGAACAAATGAATACGAATGGACCCTAGACCATCACTGACTGATTGCCCCTGAAGTTGGCTTCTTACAGAAACACATCTTACCTATCATCAAATGTCACGGCACGCCACTGTATGTAAATAATTTTTTTATGACTATTATGATATATATTACAATATAAAAATGAGTTGCTAAGAACAAATATTTAAATGTTTAGTAAATTAGATTACTCTGACTGATAAATTTTTAAGTTTTCAAAACAAGTAAAGAAATAGTAAAAATATGCTTTATAGAAGATTTCATTACTATTTCAAAAAATTAAAGTTGTTTTCTGTCAGAATCAATAAACCAAACTAATTATTGATTATATCCTATAACCAAACATCCCAAAGCCTGATGCATTGATACTAAACAATTAATTACAGTGATCATTTGGTTTAGTAATTATTGATTACTAGCTGTTACCTGCAACTTCACCCATGCAGATTTTGCAAGCAAACCCCATTTAAATTCAGTATTTCAACAACCATAGTAATTGTTATATAACACCCACCGCTGAGAATGATGAGAATTGCTGCGAATCAAATGAACTGTTTTCAATTTGATCAATTTTCTGGAACGTTTACAATCGTTCTCTAATCGAACCAAAATGCAATAACAAATTCAAATTTAAAATGGTTCAAACATTTGGTTAAAAAATCGAAATATATGAAAATATTTATAACAATTTCTGAAATGTTATCAATTTAATTCACCTAAGTACTCAATAAAGACTAAACGTAGTTGAAAACAAAAAATAGCATCTAAAATAGTACAGTAGAAGCTGTTCTTCAGGTTAAGCCTTAGTCCTCTTCCTCTCCCCCCACAGGGGGAATTTCAGAAAATCCCTTCTTAGTGTGAATTTTCATGATGTACCCTAACCGTGTACCGAGTTTCACCTCTTTAGGTTCAGCGGTTTGCTCTGGGCAATGATGAATCAGTCAATCACTCAATCACTCAGTCAGGACAAGTAATTTTATCTATTTAGATGTGAGAACCTGGAGCCCATTGACCTATTTTACCCCACATTTAAAAGGGAGATTTATTTTAGTTTTTGTTTTAATTATTAAAAGATATTGAAAAAATTATTTGTTTAAAAAGAGACCATTCACTTCTCTTTTACTTTCAAATTTGGTTAAAGAGGGAAATAAAACTTCCTTCTGTTTTTGCCAAGATTAGATCATTTCCTGTGATGAAGTTAATTATCTTACGTGTTATTGACACATTTGATGTCAGGAGTTTGGGTCTTTTCTGATCTTCGTCATCATGAGTTCTCACAATCAGTTTGGTTTTAACAGAATAAATTAAATAAATAAAAAAATAATAGAATAAACTTTAAAAAATTATATATTAAAAATAAATATAGAAAAACTTACCCCATATACTTCTGGTAATACATCATGAGCACCTTGCCATAACTCCGTAGGAATTCCATCATTTGCTTCAATACCTTTGACAGACCATGAAGATGAATTATTTGCAGATGGAGGTATTTTAATAATGTTTTCTACTGGCTCTATAATGAACACATTGATTTGGAAATTATTAAACTATTTAATATTTTAATAAAATAAATATTTTAGTATGACATATAAATTTAAGGAAATAAAAACTAACCAATCATTTCAACTTTAATTTCATCTTTCTTATTTAATTCTTCTATATCGTTATCAGCCACTGCAACTACATTGCCAGAAGAATGGAACAAATGTGTTCCAACATTTCCCATTTTTGATGGGAAAGTGGATTCATTCAAATCATCAATATTAGTAATTATAGTACTTTGATTATCAGCTGGTGATGGTGATTCATCAAATATTAACTTATTTTGAAATGAAGAGTCAGGATCGGGTGATATTTTTTTGCTGAAATAAATAATCAAAATTAATATCTTCGCAATAAAAAAAAATTACATTCCAAACAAATGTTTTCAACTCCTTTAATGGACTATTTAATTTAAAGACAGTCCATTTAATAGGCCATCTTTCAGTTATAAGACAAAAAATCCTAAAATAGATTTTAAATATGTAACAACAAATAATGAATGAAAAATACTAACTTTTTCCTAATGATAAATAGTCTAGTTAGCTTCACCTTTGTTTATATTTTTGAAAAATATTATTATTTATTTGCAAAAAACTTATTTATATCAATTATAATCACAGACACAAAGCATTTGATAAAACCAAGTAACTAAGCAACATATAACATACAATATTAAAGCATTCTGGAAATAAAGCTAGGTTATTGGCCAACAGATCCTAAATAATAAAATGAAAAATAAAGCTTTCATGTTAACAAAATGATTCTATATTAAAAATGAAATTGTATAGTTTTTATCTGTTAATTTCTGAATGATAAATTCAAATAAAATTAATATATCTATTTATATTTGAAAAATACCAGTAATAAATTTAACCTTTTCTAATTATTGATGAAGCAAAATAAATTAATAAATTCAAAGTGTAAAACACTTTTTACTCACATTTATTAATATTTTAAAATAATTTAAATTTTTAAATGATATTAATAAGAGGTATCTGTAAAGTTCCTGAACTGAAACTGAAAAATTATTGCACGTGAATAGTGGCAACACGGCATTGCAGTTAGTGTGCTAGCTGGTTTTTGACAGATTGTTTCTGTGCACCACATTATCAGGGATGACAGTACTATGGAGGTCCTTTGGAGACTGCACAATTTCCCAAAATTTGTGGCCACCATGATCTTCAGACATGACATTTTTTGATTTCTCTCTGTGGGATATATTGAAGAACAGAGCATACAGAAATAATTCACATAGATCAGGGGAGTGAACCATCTTAACTTTGTATGCCAAAATCACTAACTTTACAATGCAAAATTTTCTAACATGCAAAGCTAAATTTTTCGGAATATATTACATTATTTAGTGTCTTCTATGGCATGTCTACATGACCAAATTTCTTGAATGTAGAACTTGTATTTAAGCTATTGTCGCTGATAATGTAGACAAAATAATTTGTTCTTTCAAAGTTCTTGAATTCAAAAATTTTGAAGTAGAATGCTGTTCTATTAGATCTAAGAACTTAAAACGATCCAGATTTTGAAAGGAGTGCAAAAGCAAGATGAAGCGTTTTGTATGTGATCTCTTGCTATCAACATTTGCTTAAGAAAAGAGAAAGAGAGCAACAAATGAAACTGCATGACTTTATCATAAAAAACAAGAATTTCAGAAGAGCCAGGACCTTCATCACAAAATGAACTTTACATTTCTGTATGCATATGTTTATATTATTTAACATATTATGCATTTTAATATAAAAATAATTTTAAATTAAAGTGAAATCTGTTTATTTTTGGTCGTGTGTTTCCTTTTCCCTATTTACTCCGTGTTAAAATGGCATTGTTTAATGCTGTTTCATTTAGCGCTTTGTCATCTAGGAATGCATCCCTGCATTAAGTTGGGTCTTACTGTATTGCTAAAACTACCTTCAACATATATTTATTCTTAAGTTTAACATAAAAATTTTCCTTTATTTAGAAATTGACATTATTATCATCATTTATCATCAGCTTTTATTCCATTTTCTCCATTAGGGTTTCTCATTTCCCAGTCTTTTGCTTGTCCCGGGATTCAGGGATAAAAGTGAACTATTTCCCGGGATCTCAGGATAGAATCAATTATTTTTAAGGTATACAAAATATCTTGAAATCAAATGATATAATTATTTTCCATTTTTTAAAGTAATTTTAAAGTTCTGTAACCTCCAAAATCATATTAATAATGCTGTGTAAGGTCTATAGGCCTATAATAAAAATTACCTTTAAATAACGTAGAAATTTTCACAAATAGAAAAAAATTAATTAAAGTTTGCTGGAAACTGCATACAACAACAACAAAAAAAATGTTTTGAATTGAGTTAAAAATTAAAAAAATGAACTTCTAATTTAGAAGGTAATTTTCGTTTTTTAAATAAAATATAATACAAAATATTGCAAACTTTTATAAGATTTTAAAAAGCAAAGATGGTCAATACTCCGATAACTCACTCTAATTCTTATTTTAGTAATGAAAAGTCTTGCCACCGAGAATGCCCTTTCCGATTCAATTGATGTGATTGGAATAGTGTTTAATGCATTTAAGAGAAGACAGATATTATGTGTTTTTTCACCTGTAGCCTGGAAGATTTCGAGTTCGTTTTCGAGATTGTAGTACTTCTTTCGCTCTCTAGTATTCTTGATTTGTCTACCTTGGCTGCTTTAATAGCGGCATCAAGCTTAGAGCTCGATAATTCGGCAATTCATTTGGCTTTAATAATCAGGTTTATGAAGAAAAACTTCATACTTGCAGACTTTGTACTCGTTTGTATCCTTGCCCAATTTGCACAATCTGGCGTCAGGCATTTATTGAAGCTACTGGGCATGGTTAAAACTCAAGACAGCGTAAGCACAATTATTCCAGATATTACAGGTTCCGACAAGTAAAGAATTTTTATAGTCCTGCCACAAATAAGCTATATATTGATTATTGACCATTTGTGACATGATATAACGAGCAAAAATAAATATAAAAAAAACTAATAGGTAAGTTTAAAATTAATAAATACAAATGTATTCTGACAGTGAATGAGATAATTATGCTTTTTATTTGCAAAATTTCTTAACCTTAACACAAAATAAGAAAAAAAGTGAATTTTTAAGAAATTTGCAGGATTTCCCGGGATAAGAAAAATTTCCCGTGTTAAAAAAACAGCTGGGATCCCGTTTGAGAAACACTATTCTCCATATTATCTATTTAAACTGTATATTTTTAAAAGCTAATTTTTTACATTAAGAACTAATGAAGTTACAAATTAAATTTTACAAAAATATGAATGTAGGAGAAAACATCATTTTGATTTTCTTTTTATATATGCAGCAGTAACAAAAATCTCTCCCCAGCTAATTATTTAAAAAAAAAATAATAGAGCAATCACTGCAGACCTTTTACTGATGCATATTATGTTGAACATGTGATAAACAATGGTAGGAATTTCTGCTCCCCTCCAGCTCTTCTATTGGAGAAGGCTGCTGCAATCTCAAACTCCTAATGAAAACAGGGAAACTTTGTCAATTATGTATGAAAAAACATACTATTGCCTTTAAGTGAATTTTAAAATATCAGATGAGATCCTGTTACAGACTGTTAAATAAGATAAGTAAATGTTTCACTGCACAACATACAAAAGGTAACCAAAGTCCAAGGTTGTTGGTTCAGTGTCCAAGGCAACAACCTTGGATACTGAACCAACAACCTTGACAATGAAGCAATGAGCCTGAAGAGGAATTGGAAAATACTTACCAATCCAAAGTGCTTTGTTTAAATAGATGAATAAAATAAACTGTTTTAATCCTGGTCTCTATTTATTGCAGATAATTAAGAAAAACATGATATAGATCACTAATCAAACTATTGAAAGAAGAAACTTTTATTCAGTTTTATAAATGCTTACTTTATTATTATTATTATTATTAATTATAACTACATAAATAAGAAGAATATTATAATTTTCAGCTGTTTAGTAATTGACAACTGTTTTTCATTCACTTTACACTTTTAATCTATTGCTTAAAATTTTTTCTCTATGTAATTTATTAGAAATCTGTAATTCCTTATTGCATAACAAAGTCTCTTATCAAAAAGTAAAATCTGCAGAAACATATTAAAATTTATTCATAAATACCTAAACATTTTCTGCTTATTTTAATTTATTCACGAAAGAGGCCATGTCAAAATATGAGAAATTTATTTAGAATAAAAATAAATTTAAGCAAAAAAATTCTATGTTAATTTATTAGTAATAATTAATCAATAACGGAAAATTTGTTTTTATTTTTATATATTATCTTTGAAAGAAGTCGTGTAAAAAACACAGAAATACTTAGAAAACTAATAAATTTTAATTTCTTTTCTGTGAATCTAAATTATTTCTAAATCTGGTAAATTAAAAAGTCACTTCAAAATTATCTAATTAGAAATTAGTATGATACTTTATACAATTATTATTATTCTCTGAATTTCCAATTTGCTTAAGAGAATATGATTCATCATTTTCTATGTATGACAATTAACATATTTCTGAGGTATGAACTGTGTTAAGGTGATTCAATCATTTTCAGCATCTATATCATACCCAATTTCAGAATAAGATGAATGAGTCATCCATTCACACAGTATTTTTCTAATAAAACAAACCCCAAAATTTCAGATAACAAGCATTTACTAACAATTTGAAATTTAGATATATTATAATATGACATTTTTAACTGCAAATATATTATAGAAATTATTTTTTACTAAATCCAAGAATGATATATAAGAAAATTATTATATTTTCATACAATAACTGAAAAGGCTAATAAATTTATTAGAACAAATTTCTAAAAATTATTTTACTAATAATAATTATTTTCTATATTTTGAACAAATGAATATTGATTAGTTGTATTAATTATATTTATTTATAATTTAAAATTTTATAATTAGATTGTGTTTCTATTAATAATTTAATAGAAACACAATCTAAATAAATTATATATCTGATAATAAATAAACCATATAATTATATTATAAATTATTTTTTCAGAATACAACAGTTTAGGACTAAATAAAAACTTTATTATTATTTTTTAATAATAATTCTTTATTAAAAATCGTGTAATTTAGATCTAACAGATTTTTCCCATAGGATTATTGGAAAAAATTTAGTAGTCTTATTGATTAAATTTGAAATTCAAATTTCATGTCTATATAGTGGATTATATATCCTGTTACATGCATTCAATCATATTCATTAGAAGCTGGTATTTACTTTATTACACAAGGTCATTTCTATATATTGATCAA